CAGTAATGACTCTCAAGATATCAATTCATATTTGCATAGTTTATATGAGAAAATTAATTTTAAAAAATCACCTATAAAAAATGAGCAATTCTTATAATTGTGACAAGTTTAATGTTGCTCTAAAAGAAAGCTTTCACCTTTTGTTCAATTGATGGATCTTTACGAGCATTTGGAAAATATTATATTGATCCTTTGTGATTCCTGTCTTTAAGCTTATAGGTTGTATCCACTCTTGACTGATCATTGGAATATCTTCTTGGCAATTACTTGGATCATTTGGAATGAAAACGATGGCAAAATCTTCAGTAGAAAATAAGTATGATAAAGTCCTATGATTTGGCATCATATCCTTCATTTATTGCCAAATTGCTAGCAGCTTTGTATGATTAAATTTTAATCCTATTTTTAAACCTTCAATTTATATCCTCTCTTTCCTTTTCATTTTTTCTTACTTGGTTGCAGTCTATTCCGTTAATTTTAATAACAAGTATTCATCAATTTAAAAAAAGAATACGAGGACCAAATTTTCATTAAACAAAGGAACGTCATCCTTCACCTTCTTTGAGTAAGCTTCAATTATCTATCAATTTCCAAAGAGAAAATAAAGATAGACTAAAGTACATACATACTCATTTATGAAACATATTAATCATTAGCAAACACGGAAACAGCAATTGCCAAAATATTGTGTATCTCATAGTTCATCAAAAATGCAAATTGTGTGTTACAAAAGTCAAATATTTATTTATTTTTTAATTTTGATATATATTCTAAATTTTAGTTGAGTTAGTAGGCCTCTAAATTTACATTCTAGAAGATGACAATGTGAACTATAGCTGCTATATTTCTCATTATGTTTCTTATCAAGAAATAGTTTATTTTATCCGTAATATAAAGATCAAATGCATGATAGATTTTAAAATGTAAAGCAATGTCACTATAGAGTGTTTGAACAATTTCCTAGATTATATTTTTCAATCATTAAAGGTATTAGGTAATAAATTAAGCATGAATAGTTGATGAGGGTTACTATGAAGTGTTAATTGTAGGCATTTATACTTAGCTTCTTGTTACAACTATTGAACATGTACTCGATATTTCTAATGAAAAATATTCTGCAAATAATAACATTCAATTTAACCAAATTAAATAAAAAATAATCAGTGAATATTCTTTAAAAGAAGATCCAAATATAGAAAAATATTTAAAAATATAAAATAATTTTGCATTTCACTATGTTGAATCAAAAATTGAACCTAAACACAATACAATATGTATAAGAGCCTAATAGCAGAACATGCCCACAAATTTAAACCAAAAATTACATAAGAATTAAAAACCGAATCTAAAATTAAGTCCGAGTCAAGAACCCAAATTAACATATAATCTATCCCAGACTTCAGAGCTTAACAAACAAAAATTGCTCAAATTAATATATCAATTAAATAATCTAATAATATGGGCTCGTATAAATTTTTATTCAACTTATCAATATGTCCAATAATCAAGCTAATATCAATATTATTTCAGCTCTCTGTTTTCGTTTGCTAAATTCATAAAAATATATTATTTGGAAAGTCCAACGACATCAGCATACTATAGATTTAAGCACTGTAACTTCTTTAAATAAAGTTTACAATTAAAATCTTTATGTATATTGTTTAATCCAAAGGTACACATCTTTAACCCATTGATACCACTTATCAAAATAAAAGTTCACATTATCATATAAGTATTTTTTTTTTTTAGTTTTCTTCACTTTTTTTTTCGCTCCTGGATCTGTCTATTGTTTGTTAATTACAAAACTTGTAAGAATTTTAACGTTACCCTACTTGTATCACACCTTATAGCATTAATCATTTATTACTCTTCAGCATGATATGCATGACAAGTTGGCAGCCTCTATTGAAAACTCGCTATGTATTATGACAATTATCTGTTACAAATGTTAACATAAGATATGTCAAGTAGAAAAAAGCGATATGATAATAGTTCTTCTAAATTAAGAAAAAAACCATTTAGGACCCTTAAGAAACTAAATGTTAAGAAACAAAGCCATAAAAATAAATTGCATTTATAAAATCAATTGATGCCAGTACTTATTTAAGAAATGCATTAAAAATTTTGAATTATTTAATGTGTATAAAAAAATGAATTGTATTGTGCCATTCAATTGTTTACTACTAATGCATAAGATTATTTTGTGTAGTAAGTCACCAACAAACCATTTGTAAAGATTTCATTTGGATAATTAGTTTAGTACCTTTACTTTCAAATTTTTATAATTGAAATGCAGGAAGACTATGATACAAATTGCAACCAAAACAACAAACAAACAACGAAGAAATTGCAAGAGAGAGATTAGGGAACTCAAATGAGGGCTACCAAAGAAAACAAACAAGATACTATGTTGATCTACTGTTCCAGAATTGGATCGTCTCTCTACAAACACTAGACGCAGTTAGGAACACTAGCATAAAAGAAAAATTGCAGCCAAACAAAATATAAAAATAAACCCGAGCTCATTTGCAAAAATAAATACTACTCAATATTTCTTTTAAACTTTTTTCCCCAAAACCCCCCTTGATTCAATGGTGTGGGCCCCACCTAAGCATTGGAATCATCTTCAGCCCCTCTTGAGAATCCCACCTGCATGGTCCACTCGTCCGCCTAGTTGGCCCTCAAGTCGGCTGAATTAGGCACGACGTATCAGGCTTTTGATGGATAAGTATACACACTTGTATTAAACTCCATGTGTCATAAATTATGTGGATGTCGCCACATAATATCATTTATCCATGCCAAGATTATAGACCATATGCAATTGCAAGTTTAAAATGATAACATCCGAAGTTTAAACATCTAGATCTTTTTGCAGACATACAAGCTTCCTATATTGCTTCCCTACAAGATGCTCATGAGTCAATTTCACCTCAACCATAGCCATGATCTACACCATACAAACACTCTTCAAAAAAGAGTTTCTTTCAAGCTAAGTGAGTTGATGCAATTCCCAATAAGTAGAAGACTTCCCAATATCATCATCTAACACATCGTCAAACTAAACATTGATTTTTTGTTTGGTTTATGTTTTAATTGTAATAAAGTACAATCATAGACTTGATTAATTTAGAGGATTTATACCATAAAGACGTCACTTATATGCAGAATCCCACTTGATTGCTTTCTTCATTATTTGATTTTCGTATAGCTTTCAGAAACCTCTTTATGAATAAGGATGCATGTAACAGTCAACAATATTAAGGAATCGCAATCTTAACAAGCTATGAGTTCTTCCCCTGCTCCCTTTATGCCTTTATGTAGACATCAATTTAGCGCACCCATACCGCTACCCTGTTTGGGTCACAAACCACCAATCTCTCATTATTGAATCATGTCATAAAATCCCACAAGAATTCGTCATTGACTTGCTTAAAGCAGAACCAAGAATGAGCTAAATTTGGAACATAGACAATGACTAAAACTAATGAAGGATTACTACTTACAAATCCAATAATCACCCAGCTAATGTGTATTACTGATAAATAGATTGAGCCGATGCGCTCGAGTTATAAAACATGGGTGATCACTAGAGAGCAAGTTATCTACAGATAATAAAAAAGAGTGTTTTTATACAGATAAACTTTCACCCAATTATTTAAAATCAATTCGCACAGTTCAAATGGAAAATATTGAGTTGATAAATCGTAGAGACCAAATTCACATTGGGTTAATGAATAAGTTGATTCTCGAACATGCAGTTGCATGAAGATTTATTGATACACTATGTATTCTAAATATTACAAGACTATGATAGGAGATACATTTGAAAGCACATGTTGAAGACCTCATATAGATTTTATGTTAGCGTGAAGAAGTATGTTACTGATTTTAGTACATCAGTTCTAAGTTTCAACAAAATTAATAAATGATTGTCTATGATTAATATTTTAAGTATTGTAAAAATTAGATGAAAGTTAAATTGATTGAATGCATTAAAATCTATATTGCATATTATATATGCATCAGAAATCGCATAACCAAACATACCTTATATCATCTTCTCAACAACTTAGGCCCATTTACATTCAATCATTCTTCGAGATACATGTTTCTCAAGATCTTTTCTCCGTGTTAATTCAAATTCTTTGATGTTCTTTTTGAGGAACTCATACCATTTATTTTAGTCAACTTCTTATCACCTAGCTATTATATCTTCCACTTGATCACACCACATTATACACGTAAAACAACAAAACAGCACAATACTAAATTCCCAATGTTCTACTTCCCTGAACAATCATATGTTAACATAAGTGTCAATATCAACACAAGAATGCAAAATCCAAACAAGATTAAAAAAAAAGGTTCTTTAAAGAGCTCTATTTAGCAACCAGCTTATGATTTGATAAGATATGTATGCATGAAAGTCGATAGATGGACAAAGATAAAAATTCCCATGAAATTTTGACTACATTGATAAGATTGTGAGCAATCAGTCTCCCTATTTCTACAAAAATAGCTAATGAGCAGAATGAATTCTTCGCAGCCTATCTGGAAGGTGCTCTGTAGAATTAAAAAGGATGCACAACAATTAAAACTTTAGGTTGTCAGATAATGACCACATATAAAAGTTTTAATCCAAACAAAAAGCTAACATCATTAGAAAAGAAGTATGTAACTTTCTAGAGCATGAGTGGCGCTAATTAAAGAAAAAGGGATGGAGTCCTGAAGAGGTTACAGAACATGCTAGATGAGTTACCAAGGCACCACCCATAAAAGAATACTTTTGAATGATGTATGAATACGGAATATAATGGCCAATGGAGATACTTGCAAACAGTGCTAATGCAAGGGAATCAAATCAAAAACTGAAATATACGTTTTTTATCATCTAACCAATACAATAATAATAAAAATAAAATAAAAGAAAATTCAAACAGTCATGAATGTCGATAAAAAAGCAGAGTGGACAACCGAAAACACAATTGTGCGCTTACCTTCATCGAAGAAAGCTCTCGATCACCGCAGAACAACATAACTCTGGAGCACTCAGCATAGCCGAGATCATGTACCCACACCATCGAACCAAACGAGACAAGCCCTACCATAGCATTCTCCGGAAGATTCGCTACCACGTGCAAAATCTCATTCTTCAGCGCCCGGAGCTCCTCCTCCGCCGAGCATACATCCACCACAAACACGAACGCCGGTCCAGGCGCTTGCGCTACAGCCGGAGAAGGTATTGTCACCGATGCGGATGAAATAGAAGATGTCAACGAAGCAAACGATGGGCTCGAGGAAAAGGAATTGTGCAAAAAACCGCTAGGGTTAGTGTTTTTGTAGGGGAGGAGGTACTCTACGGTGCTGTGTGTGGGGAATAGCTCGGCAGGGAGGTTGTGATCGGCTATTCCGGCGTATGAGCGGGGAAAGGGATTCTTGCGGTGGCAGAAAGAGCAAATCCAGAGGGCGGAGCGGTAGTCGACGCGGGCGTAAGGGTTTAGCACGGCAGAGCAACCAGAGCAGGATAAGGGCTCGTAGGGAAGAAGAGGGAGATCGGTGAGGGGCATCAATGGAGTGCAGATTACACTCAAGGGGACGACGAGGGAGGCAGCATCGGAGCGTGACGAAGGCCATGCGTTCCACGGCCACCGGAGGCCTTCCACTGCCTCCAGCTCGGTGAAGTCCATTGCCGAAGAAGCGGCGACGATGGGAGGTGGAGGGAGGCCGGTGGAGTCGAAGCATAGGCAACCCTACGAGGCGTCAAGATTTAACAGGAAGATTGATTGGAAGGACCCGTGGTGCTCCCGGAGCTCCCGCCGCCGCCACCATTGTTCCCTAGTCTGAAAGTGGAGCAGGTATCAGTTAATCGTAGTTAAGGACGGACGAGCGAAGGATCCGCGTTATGCCGGAGAAGTTTCGATCGCTTCTAGTGCGGATCAAAAAATTAGATCGTGGGATTTATTTGTTTATTTATTTATTTTATTGTGAGAAAAGATTTATGCTCAGATGGATGGTATGAAATATTCGCTCTATTATTTTTTATATCCGGAAAATTTACATCAACGCACAATTTTAATTTATTTTCATATTTAACCACATAAATTTTATATTTATATTTATAATATTTTAGTCTCATAAATCAATATATAAAAATCTTTTATTTCACTTTTAAACAAAAGTAAAAATGATAATTTAATGTGATATCTATGCATGTGATAAAAGTTTAAAGTTATGGGAATGTAAACGCCTAATAATTGTAGGGTTCGAAGGTAAATGCTCTTTCATATATTTAAGTATTTAATTATTTTTTTTATTTATTCATATACAATTTTAATACTTAAATATATTTGTATGGACAAAATATATCATCTCGTCAGGCTAGGGTAAGTTGTTGTCATTTGAGTTGTGCAAGCAGAGATTTTTCCCTTTTTTGGTCGGTCACCCTGTCCCTCGAGTCGGCTACCTGATTCGACCTTCCTGGTTCGGTTTCCTTGGTTCGGCCACCCAGCTCGAACTAGCCACCCAACTCCGATGTGCTCCAACGCTTCAGAATGACAAAATGATCAAAATATCCTATGTCGCCCTCCTTAAAGCGGAGATATTATTGTAATTTTATTTTTCTTATTGTCATCTTTTATAAATAAAGGACACTTGCATGTGTAAAATGGGATGGGAGAGGGGGCTCTCTCTCTCCCTCAAGCTCACATTGTAATTTCATTTGTGTGGAATTAACAGTCATATTTGCCCTCTCTCTCTCTCTCTCTCTCTCTCTCTCTCTCTCTCTCTCTCTCTCTCTCTCTCTCTCTCTCTCTCTCTCTCTCTCTCTCTCTCTCTCTCTCTCTCTCTCTCTCTCTCTCTCTCTCTCATTCCCTTTCTACTTCCCTCATATATCTGGCTATATCCCTTGGTCACGAGCTAATGAGTTCAACACCTTAAAAAATAGAATTAGCATGAATCATGTCACCAACAAGAAGATGAGCCTTTCAAATTGAAGAGCTCAAACCAAAAAAGAAAGATAAAGATGAAAAGAGGAAAACTAAGGAAAGAAAGAAGAAAAAAAATAGTAGGAACAAGACAAAAAAAGTAAGTGAAAAGACAGGGTAAAGATAAATAAGAGAATGAAGAACCTCACTCACTTTCCACTAAGACCTCTTACTGAACAACCAAATAAGCATCTTTTTTTTTTTTGTCGTGTTTGCTTATCTCAAATGAATAACGAAATAAAAAAGAGAAAAAAATACAAAAAAATTACATCCTCTCACTTAAGACCCTCATTCTCGATGAGCAAACAAAATCTCTCCTTAGAAACGAGCAAACAAAGACTCTGCTCCAAAACGAGCGATCAAAGTCTCTCCTCCGGAAAGACCAAACAAAGACTCTCCTCCGAGACTATGGAACAAAGCCTCTTCTCTAGGACAAGCAAACAAAGTGTCTCCTTCAGGAAAAGCAAACAAAGTCTCTCCTCGGGAATGAGATAATCTATCCACCAAACATAATATCTAAAAAATTTAACCAATAATAATATTCTCATCAAAGGCAAACGGAATGATTGATAAAAAACTACTAAAAGGTGGTTCATGAAATATTATTTTCTACACTTGTGAGATTTTCATTCTTATTGTGGTCTCACCTATAAGAGTAAAAAACTCGGGAGCTTTATGTATGGCTAGAAAATACCATCTCGTCGAGCTAGGATAAGCTGATGTCGGAGTTGCGCAAGCAGGAATTTTCCCTTTTTTGGTCGGCCACTCAGTCCATCGGTTGGCCTCTCTGGGTCGACCACCTGGTTTGACCCCCCTTTGTTCGGCTTCACTGCTTTGGACCCTCTGATTCGGCCTCCCCGAGTCCCCCTGGTTCAGCCACTAGCTTCAGTCAACCACCCAATGCCAACAAGCTCAAATGCTTGAGAATTAAAAAATGACCAAAATAACCTATACCACTCTTATTAAAACAGGAGTATTATTGTAATATTATTTTTTTCCTGTTGTCATTTTCTATAAATAGAGGACCCTTGTCTTGTGTAAAATAGGGAGAGAGACTCTCTCTCTCCCTCGACCTCACATTTCAATTTCATTTCTGTGGAATAAAAAGGGTCAAAGAGCCCGGGAATACTTCCCTTTGCCCCCTTTCCCCCGCGAAGCAACTCTGTCTTTTTCTTTGTTCTCTTTTTGCTTCCCTCGGATTCCACGCTCTATCTCCTCGGAGCGAATTAAATGATAGCTTTGTGTTCAACAATATCAAATTATATGAATAAAAAAGAGTTCAAATATATTATATTCTTAATAAAATTGTAAATTAATATGTTAGATAAATAAATACAATGATATAAATATATAAGAACTATGTTAAGTAAAAAAAATTGGTTTTATGATCTTATGAATAAAAAAATTGGCATTGTTAGATTTTTTATAGAAATTGACAAAATTTTGTTCTCTATGTTAGACATTAATATAATTGATTTAATTTGTAGAAAACTTTTAAAGTATATTTTTAAAAAATGATTTTTTGTTACAACAAATTTAGTAAGAGATTCTTATAAAAATGAACAAATGTTTTTTTCACCTTAATATCAATCAAAATTAATTTGATAGAATATTGTAGAATTAAAGTAACATAAGATTATTTTGTCTAACCTCTAATATAAAACTTTATCCATAAGAAAAGAGCATCACTGTTGATATTTTATTACAAAATTCATTTATATATATATAACATATATATATATATATATGTTTGGCTTTCTGTGTATTTCCAAAAAGTGCAAGCACAAATCTAGACAAGATCTGACGGTAGCAAATACTGGTTGACCACCTCAGTTGGCCGACCTCCCGGTCTATTTGTCGACCACAACCCTTTAGTCATCCTCACTCCATCGTCCGACCTCAATCTGTCGGTCGACCGCAGTCCGTCAGCCGACCGTCTCATTAGACAGACCTAGATAAGCAAATATGTGTCACCCCTATACGAAAGGGTGTTAGGGACATAAAGAGGCGCCAATGAAAGTAAACTTTAGAGGCGAGCTTATACTTTTATATTTGCCCTCCTATAATCTATAAATAAAAGAGGACTTTTTATGTATAAGAGGACAAATGTCATTTTGGATCTCCCCCTCCCTTGTAACATATATTTTAATATATAAAATTGGTCTAAGAACCCAGGGAAAACTCTCGCTTTGCCTCATTGGGGGCAATCGTTGCATCACTCTCCCTTCTCTCTTTCTGTCTCTCGGTTTTCTACCACTCTATCTCTTGGGCATGTACATTGCGACAATTCTAGATCCAATAATACCCAATATAATCATTTTAAAAACGCAATTCGTGAATAAACCTAAATACACCAACTAATATATGAATTTCATAAATATATTGAAAATGTGTGGTCGATCATAATTTCGACAATGATGAAGTCGCTTATGCACACTTACCCACAATACAATGGTTGATGTCATAGTTTCACTCAGCGAAGATCCTAGTTCGAATCACAAATATTACCTTGTAAGCTCGCCATTCTCGAAGAATAAAATGATGTCATTTGTAATATGTTATCATACTAGAAATAGTGATGGTGATGGGTGATAGCGTGAAGTGAGGAATATAAATTAAAGAGAGAATAATGAGCGAGGTATATATATGTGTATGGAAAACATATTTACGAAATATGATTTCTAGTTGACACAACGAGCCTTGTTTTGTAAAATGATAATTGTTAGGGTTATATTAATAAAGCAGCCCAAAAAACAAATAATATAGATTTGGCCACATTTACTCTGCCAATAGATGTATAATTACATCCATATCACTTAAATCTTTAATTTAAAATTAAAAAAATCACAATAATTTTATTTTCACAACTGAAATATAGGGCTGTCAAAATAGCTCGTTGTTCGCGAACAGCTTCGGCTAGTTAAGAAGCTCATGTTTGACTCATTCGCTAAATTAACGAGTCGAGCACGAATAACACAAACAAATATATATTCATTCGTGTTCGGCTCATTTTGGTTCGAAACACTACAAATCAATTATATATATAACTTTGATGAGCAGTATTTTTAAAAAATGTAATTGACTACAATGCTACAAAGATTTATAATCATTTAAAAGTATTAATGAAGAAAATAGAATAAAATTTATTAAATTAGATTCATATGATGTTTTAAATCTTGCCCCAATCCTTAACATCTTATGACTACGTGATTAGAGTTGTCAAAATGACTCTTTGTCCGTGAACGACTCGTGTTCGGCTCGGTAAGCAAACGAGCATAACACGAGCACACCTTTTGAGCTCGAAATATAAACGAACCGAACACGAGCGAGCCCAGATCCTTAACATCTTATGGCCCGGGACTCGCTCGTGTTCGACTCGTTTACACATCTACTGAAATACACATTCTCTTGTATAATTCTATAATGCTAAAGTGACCTAAATGTGAATATAAAAATTTTGATGTTAGTTATATAAAAACGAAAAATTTGTGTGGCATGCATGTAAATTACCCTTTCTCAAAGCGGGGACGCTAATCATTCGTCCTAATGTCAAAGACACCACACCTTTCGTAATTTATTATTTCATAATGTGCCCATGTTAATTACTTAATCACATGAATGTATATTTTTAAATTAAACTACATATGTGATTAGTTTCTTAATTACATGTACCTTTCAAATTATCTTTGAATAAGGACGTGTAACTTATTTAGTAAGTTATACAAATATTTCTATATATATATAAGAAAATTCCATAGGCCAATTTCATTGAAAAAGAATGAAAAGACATAAAAAGAGATTTGCAGGGCCAATATAGATATTCCCCTGACCAAAAAAGGAAAGCAATAAGAACTCCAAAACTCCGGGTGTCTAACGAAAAAAACTGAATGAGAAAATCAGAAGCAAAAATGATGATATGTTTCTCTACGTCGAAAAACTATTACGTTCGTCATACCTCCTTTTAGC